CCCCCCCCCCCCTCCCCTCCCTGGTGCGTTTTGCGTGTTCCCCTCTTCCCCGATGCAAAATAACGATCGACATTTGTGAAAACCGAAAAACGGGTCCCCACTCGATCGGCCATTTGTCACGCGCGTTGCCCAGGCATAAGGCGACACGGTGATCGATGACACCGCTGTTTCGGGCGACTAGTAGGTGCCGGTTGTTGGTCAGCAACGGCAGCAGTTCACGATCAGAGGGCGTTCGTGGCCATAAATTTTGCCACGGGCCATGTTGGTTATGTCGTGCCCAACAACAGCTTGTCTGAGTGAATCAACGGGTCCATCCTCGATGAGACACCCATGTCCAAGGTGTAAGTCTTGTCCAACAGCCAGAAGTAGTCCGTTCTCGGCTGAGGTGGCGGTACATACTGAGTGCGATTCGGAGTGAAATGATGGGCCCATCCTCGCCGAGGAGGTAATGTCCGCGTTACCCAGTTTGTTCCAGCAGGCAAGAGCAGTTTTGCTCTGAAGTGAATGGCGGTGGTCACGTACGTGTGTGGTGGATGGTCGCTTGACCATATTTGCTCAGTTGTGGAAGAACACCCTTCCGTGCGATCAAGTCCGGGTCTTGCCGTAGAGGCCAACGGCGAGAAAATATGTCACAGGTAGCGTCTTGGTGGGACAAGTTATCGCCAAGCTGCATATGAAAAGTGCCTGCTACCGGTACGGTGCTGGTTCCACCTTCATTGCAAGTGGTTACTTCATGTCATGCGATCACGAGAGTGGGAATGCGGAGAAGGTAGAGCAGGGCCTCGAAAGCAGAAGGCCAAACGAAAGATTGTGGTTGGCCCGAAACCTGTAGTATGGTTCAACATGCGGTTAGATATTAATGGTTCCCGGTAGTTGAATTTATAATAGGTCTGAATTGCAAGTACTATTTCGTGCGCCGATCGGCATGGGGTGGAAAGAGAGACGTGCTAATTCACTTGCACGCAATAACGTAGCCTCTTTTGGACAGTTTTGGTTTGGTGGGTGTTTTACGTAGGTGACCGATTGGTGTGTCCCTCAGGGGTTGGCAGTCGGCTGAGTAACGATTGCCTGCCGTGATTCCATTTCATTTCGATTCTCGAGTGCTGTTGTTGTTGGGAGGCTTTGTTTTCCTTCATCTACTTGTTGGCGGACCAAAGCCCAGCCAACCAAAGCTCAGCCGACCGAGCCCAGCAATGGGCGATACATGCCCTCGGTGCACAGTAAACAAACTCGAAAGACTTGCCAGGACCGGTCAGATTGATGGTGCAACTCTTGTGAGTTGGTATATTGTCTCTTGCCAGGAGACACATTTCAAGCGATTTCAGGGGATTCGTGCGGTATTTGCGTGGTGATCGAAATCAATTCCATCGTTTCTCGACGCTACATGCACGCATCTACGAAGGGCTACTCGACAGAAGCTGACTACGCGGCCCCTGTACGTCGCTTGACCCTCTCCCCACATCTCCGGCTCAAATATTAGCGTGCGCCTTCAGATAGTTCAGAGAAAGAAGCTCGGTTTGCCGCCCCATCGTTCATGCGCAAAACTGTTGAGGCGCGCAAGTTTGTTGGGTGGAACGCGCGTGGTAGACTATCGTACTGAGCTACACATGCTCTCCGTGCCAACCGCAACAACCCGACTCCTAACACGTAGCGTGCTCTTCAACTAAGTAGGCTTTCTGCGTATCCCTTGTGAGGGCACCACCACACGAAACCATGCCATCATGATTGACTAAATTGGCCTGGTCCTTCGATCCTCACAAGAAAGAGTTCTTTATGTACCTGAACTACCAGCTGCCTTGTCCTCGGTGAAATAGCAATGTCGACGGCGGGATCGATCCGCTCGACAACATCGGGGCGTGCATAAATACCAAAATTCGACCCAGAAGGACATGGCTTGAACAAGCCATCGATAAGCCTCTTCCAGATGCTTTGCCAAATCTGCAGGATTACAAACTTCTTCATCTTCACGGCGTCGAACGGCCGCGTCGGTCCCGCTTGGGCGCCATTGCCAGACGTCTGCACCATCGCAAGGACAGCAATGCATCACAAGTGTAGCCGAAGACCGCGGGATTTGAATGGCGACAGCTGAAGACTGGTTTGACCTGATCGCTGGTCGAGGTGCCATAATATTTTCAGGTTTCCATTCCCAAGGTGATCCTCAAGTTCTCATTGTTTTCCGCCGGCGGGGGGATTTTTGCTCTATTGTCGAACCTGGTCCACCTGACGGGGAAGTTGAGGGGTGGTCTGCTGGCAGAAACCCCAAAATATACGTGGCACACACGCACAAACATCGTCCTCCCTACTTCTCCCGAAACCGACGAAGTAAACGGTCTACATGGAGTTGCAACAGGTCAGGAGGTGGGAGGGCCCGTCATTGCACGGCACTCGACGCCGAGTGCCGCATGGAGACAGCGTGCTCGGCACCAACAGCTGAGTGCTTAAGATTCGCTGTGGCTCCAACTAAGCAGAGAAGTTGTTGCAACAAATGCCATCCCTCGCGGGAACTCCTACACCCAAAATTCCGGGACCAAC